ACAGTGAATAAATATTTCTCCTCCATTAGATCAAATATTTTCATTTGTCATCCTAGCAGCTAGGGGTAAAAGATCTGAAAAGATTTTTTCCTATATGGACTCAAATATATTTGAATGGTTCAGTGTTTTATGGGAGGCAATTATTACTCCATACTCAGCACTACTGAGGTTACGTCTGGAGTACCACACCACACTTTGGTCATTATACTGCAAAAACTGGACACATTTCTAAGGAAAGCAACCAAAAGGTAGACAACTTCTGCAGAAGGACAGAGAAGTGGGCTTGCTTAGTTTAAAAAGGAAAGTGAAAAACCATTATTGGCAAATCTTCTGGTTTGTAAAAGACTGTAATAAAGATGAGCGCATACTGGCATTGGGACTAGTAATAATTGACCAAACACGAGACTGAACAAATTTATGGAAGAGAATTCCTTCGGGACCTGTTAAGCTGACAGCCACCACCACTGGCTCAACAAGTTGCAGAGCCACAAATTGTTGGGGAGTAGCCTGGGGAAACATCACTACACGATCTCCCTTTTCTCATACTCTTCCCTCAGCATCTGCTATTAGTCCCTGTCACAGACAAGATCCTAGAGTAGCCTGACCCTTTACACTCACCAGGTGCCTTTCTCACACTCTGCCCGCTTTTTTCAGATGAGAGAGTACAAAAACCTGTTAATTCTAAAGAGTAATTAGCGCTGGGAATGAGCCATTGCAGAGCAACAGCAGCCCTTCACTAAATGCTTTAAAGAACAAGGGCAGTTTAGTATCCTTGACCCCTTGTTTCTGTTAAAAGGAAAAAAAGAAAAAAAGGGATAGACTACAAGATTACAAAGTTCAGTGTGGGCCAACAACTCTACACAGTCCACTATTTAGATGCTTTTTTACTACCAAAGACATTAATAAGACAGCTGCAAGTTCTGCACTTCAGATACACATAAAAATTTCCAATACTGTAAACAAACAGTCGGGTTACGCACAGATAGGTGTGCTCAGGACAAAGTCTGAGACCTCAGTAAAACTGGCTACTCTACCAGATTCCATCTTGTATTTAGGAAACTAAGTGCAAGATTCAGCAACGTCTAGTAATCCTCTGTTGGGAGTAAAACTGTCTCATTACTGCAAATGACAGCAGAAGCCTTCACATTCACAAATCTTGCTTGTAGTTGACACAGGCACATTTGACTCCATTTGCAAGATACTCGATTATCTGTAATTCTCCAAATTTGCTTCCATTACACCACTGTTTTGCTTCTGCCATGAAGACATACACTTAAAAAAAGGGACAAGTGCTCTTCTTATCGCAGATCTTTGCGCCCATTTAAGCCTTTACCTAGATATTTAGCTGTAGAATTAAGTGACATAAAAGATGTAGTGCTAGATTGCAACCTAAGAAGCAAATAATCATCTTTGGAGTGCCTTCCAGGTAGGACAGAAGGAGAAGAAATTATTTAACCCTATATAATTACTTGCTTCTTTACAACTTCACAGAGCTGCTAATTGGAAATGGAATAGGGAAAATGCATTTATTGTTAGCTCTGCTCTTCGCCAAGAATTTTGGCTGCCGATATCCTTTGGCATAACCCATTATTTAGTATGGATTTCCTGATTAACACTATTCAAAAAGTTACAAAGGTCTAAGAAGTAAATGTTTTGTTTTCACAAAAGTCCCTATCTAGGGTAATGAGCCAAAGAACACAGGACAGCACTCAGACCTTGACATGCTCAATATATTAACACAACTCTTTAGCGCTAATGCGCACTTCAGTGTGTTCATATATATTATTTTAAATGCAACAATAAATTATGATTGCCAAGAAATCTGTCAGGTTCTTGAAGGAGTCTACAGCATGTACGCACAGTCCTTTCAAATGACATGAGAAAATCTGGATTATAATAGACTATTTATAGGTAGATGGAACCTGGTTCTCAAATCAAGGGAAGCCATGCTTTGCGTGCTGTACACTGTATTTTTCCTGCAGGGAGGATATTAAATAAATCAAAATAAATGACCTGGTGGCTGTTATATACAGATGTGATGAGAGGCAGAGAAAGCAAGTGAGCCCAGGTGTTCATATGTGCAGCTTTTAAGACTGTGTTAAGTAAGACCATGGAAATCAGTTCAATTGCTTGTAGAAAATCCATTTGTTCAAAGCAGGACCAGAACTTGCTCCAAAAAGTCATTTTTTGATCATACCCATGTCTAATGTCAGGGCTGTAGTTTCACACTACACCATCTTTGCCAGTAATGTAAATGTGAGCAATCCTGAGTCTCACACCAGCAACACAGTATGTGCCAATACAGCTGTTTGGAGGCAAGTGCTATAAACTCCATCACTGCAATAAGAACAGTGAAAAGTAACCCCTAAAAAGGGTGGACTTTTGACCCAGGTGGACTCTTGACCCAGGTGGACTCATGAGCTGGTTTATAACACGGCACAAAACCCTGTGTTGACCCAGCTGATAGGTGAAAATGAGCAACTAATGATGGATGGGGTTTCTTAGGCCAGTTTCATCACCAAGACGAACTTATTATAAAACTAGGTCCCAAGTGAGCCACCGAAGTAGATTCTCCAGGTCTTTTGCTAAGGACTGCAGCAAGGGAATAAAGAGCTAGCAACTTTTATAAATGCGAGATCTGAAACCTATTTTAGTAGCAATGCAAAGCACTCGGGCTACTACTGACTTCATCCAAAACTGTGAGGACAGTGATAATTCATATCCTAAATCTGACCATTTTTCCAGGTTGGTATCATAGCCATACACATTGTAAACTAAGATTTGGATCCCGTGGGAAAAGCTCAGGAGTATCATTTCTGGGATGCACAACATCAGATCATGAGATGCTGGTAAATGAGTTAATGGAAAAATATTAGTGGAACATACATTTCGGCAGTCAGAACAATTAGCTAGGAACAAAAAATATCTGGGCACTTTGTGAACTCAAGGATCTCAAGTCAAGGATGAGGAAGACTTGTTTTTCAGAAGCACAGACAATGCTTCAAACACAATTTATCCAAAGTAGTTGTTCTAGACTTGATAAAAAAAATTGCCTACTGCAGGGAAAATAAAACAGTGTTTCATCATCTTAGCCTAACCTTTACAGGTTACAGAAGAGTACACTCAACCACTAAGAAGAGGCTTAGCTTCTAAATACACTATGAGAATCATCTTTTTTTTTTCTTTTACAAGTTCCCCAAGACAACATCCATTCAGCTTCCAGTCACTTACAGAAAATTAAGGGCACAGAACACAGCATTACTGGTTAATGAAGAATGGCAAAACATTCTCTTCCCAAAAGCTGTGTGTGAGGGAGAAGACAGGCATTATATTGTGAAAGAACAGTGTAAGTCACATACTCCCTTCTCTATCAATTGATATTTACCTCTTTATGGTCTGTGAAAAAATCCACGTACTTAACAGCGTTCATACAAAATCACTAGTAGAAGAGAGGGAGGTCGAAAGAAAGCACTTGTTTTCTGACATCCGGTCGAGAGTTCCACCCTAACCTGCTGACCTTCATTAGCTTCCCCACTTCCCATGACAGCATCCTAGGAAAGATATTGCTCTGAACCACTTGCATCTAAAAACCCCTTTATTCTATAGAATCACCAAGTTACCCTAAGTAACTGATGAGGTGTTTTGTGACTGGAAATGTATCCAGGTCCAAGGAGAGTATTCCATACAAAGAGGCAGCTCTCTCGCCATCTGAGACACGAGACCTTTGCTTCATTTTGTGTCCAGGGGCAGAAGGAAGAGAAGGCAGTGAAACCATTCACCAGCCCCTCTGTGAGGTGAGCATCCATTTGCTGCTCCTTGTAAAACCACCACAAAGAAAAAAACAACCCACATAACCTCATACCAAACATCCAGACTTTGGTGCCAACTAAGTTACAAGATACACCTTAGAAAATACACAATTCTTGTTCTCTCATGGATTCTTAATCACACAGGTTATAGTTGTGATCTAAGGAAAAATGAAAGAACATTAAGGAAAAGCAAGTATGCTGTTTAAACAAAATACTGTATGTTGTTAAGCACTCGGATAATTTTTGCTTTAAGAAAATTACTTCAGGACATAAAAAAGTACAATCAATCATTATATCAAATCGAACAATTATATTAAGGTTCAATTTACAAAAGGTTAACAAATAATTAATAGCTGTTTTAATAAATAGGTATTTACTTCTCATCTATTATCAATCCAACAGATAGCTTCCAGCTGTCTATAGTACTTTCTACTGATGTGCTTATAACCCTCCCTAACATATACTACACATTTCTCTAACATGAATTACAACATCTAGAAATCATTTATTAACCCTTCATAAAATTCTAAATAAACCTTAATATGAAGCATGACTAACTTTATACTATTTCAGCCCCATGCCCCAGGACACATCAAATACTAGCTCTTTCAAGTTTTTATTTAAAATTCTACATTTTAGTTGGGAGCCACATCACTAGCCACAGAATCACAAATGCCTACAGTGGCACAGCCAACATACTGCAGACACAAGAAGTGAAACGAAAAGTGGTGGGGGAAGATCACAGGGAGCAGTTCAGGTTCTTCCAAAAGAAATGTCCTGGCTTTTTTGTTGGAACAAACTTTGATACCGTGACAACGGAATCAGAGAGCAAAGAAACACAGTCTGTTGTAATTCAAGACATTGTTTTTCCTTCTTTTTAGAAAAAAAAAACAAACACAATACATTATAATACAAATAAATAAAACAGAAAACACAAAGGTAAATTCCAAAACCCACCTCTAGGATCTTAAAAAGGCAACAGCCAACTATTTCTTGGATGCAGCCTAAACTTCTCTTACCTGCAAATTTTCAATATACTTAGAAGTCCTATTTAGTGTATCAGACTTAGGGAACAAGATGTATTACATTTAGGCCTCCTTTTTTTCCATCCAGTATTTTCATCTTCAAACCCCCACCTCAGTTTTTTCCACCAAATTGCCTGCTGTTGGTTTAACAAAGGTCAGCTCAGACTTATACTTTCCCTTCACTTTCAGAGCCTCCATCTTCATTCTCACAGTCCTCCACAAGGTCTTCACGCTCCTGTGTCTTCTCTTCCTCCTCCTCCTCTTCCTCCTCCTCATCTCCAAAAGTCTCTTCTTGCATTGTAGTAAAAGTGAAAGACCTGGCAGCAACTTGTGCAGCCAGACCAGATGTGAAGTTTAAATCTGTTGATATGTGGAGCTGGGCCAGCCTATGCTTGATTTTTGAATGCAATGCATCCTTAGAGGGAGACACTGAAACCTCTACTCCATCCATATCACTTGGCTTGAGTTCTTCAACTTCCCCTTCATGCTGATAACACGTTCTTTCTTCAGCCCCTGTAGAAATACCTTTGTCAGTAGTACTGTCTTTGTTTTCCTCCATCTCAGGATCTTCATACAAATATTCTGTCCTGCTTTTATCAGCAGCGTTCACCTTTGGATTAGAGTCTTTTTCTTCAGATTTATCACAACTTTGGCTGCAGTCCTGCTTTTCTGTATCTGAATTCATATGTGATTCCAAATTATTTAGTAGCTTCAGCGGTTCTACAGGAGACAAGGGTTTCACTGCAGCTTAAAAAGGGGGAAAAAAATGAAATGATAACTAAAAGCAAGCTGCTATACATAAATAATTTATTTGTGTTTGAAAAGATGCAAGATTGTAGAGGTCAAAATAGACTAAAAAATAAAATCAAAACAACAGTAACAAAAAACACAATCAAAGAAAACTTAAAATAAACCAGTGTTTTCTAATCACAGAGCTGAAATAAAATGTGATAGCTACTTTCTTGGAACTGTTCCTTAAAATCTGTGACATAAAAAGAGAGCACAAAATTCATGACGTTTAAAAGTGGCATCAAACACAGATGATGCATTCAATATTAAAGTAAAAACCAAGTAGAATTACTGCACTGTATACAGATTTGAACTGTCTTTGTTTTAAACAACAGTTTACCTAATCCAATAAAGACAGCTGGTACATGAAAAAGTCCTTATATGCAATATCTGATCTCATACATCACAACATATAAATACAACACAGATTCATACAGTCAGGTAAGGTGTCCTCACAAATAAAGTGTGGTTTAATTTAGCCTCTCTTGAAGTTAGTAGCAGCAGCGAGTCCCATTGCCAGCAACGGGATGCTTGCCAGGAAGTCTCTCCTCCCAGTGTTAAGGGTTAGTATAACTCGGTACAATCACTTCTTGAAGAACAGACGTCTTTCTTTTTAAGAAAATGATATAATGTCCATTTCCAAGTAACAGATTCCCTAAACTGCAGTAGCTCCATTAGAGTAGCAGCACGAACATAAATGAGAGCGGCAACAGCAGATTCCCAAGTGGCATTTCCCTTTCTAATTCCATTCTGACTTTACCCCTGTAAGCAGAGATGAAAATAACTCTGGGAAATACACAAACTTTTCACGGGAAACAAAATTTACGGTATTAGGATTTTTCCATCGCATCCTATTTCAGTAATATTTACTTTAGCTAGCTGAAGGCAGGCACATCATTCTGGTTGTCACATTGATAATTATTGTCATTAGCACACTGAAAGACTGTGGCTTCGAATTTCTATTGTATTGTTTGTTTTAAAACCTTAGATACCGAAGGAGCACTGCACCAGACTCATCTCAATTGTTAACAAGATAGTTCTTTCCCCATCTTGTAAAAAACATGCTGCTGCTTATTTCTGCCCATTTGCTTGAAGAGGCAGGAATATGCACAGTAATCTTATCATTTGGGAGCAAACTTGCTGCCTACTTCCTCCAAAGAATACTTCCAAAGCCACAATTTCTTGAAAAATAGACAGACACTTCAGATTGGTAGCTGGCCAATTTGCTGATTAGTTAATAAGCAAGGTGGAATTAATCAATTCTCAGAGTGTAGCTTTCCAAATCTGAGAAACAGCTGTATAAGAACTGTTGTATGGACAAGGTGGGAGAAGGGGAAACAGCTGGGTACAATGCAACCACTGACAGAATGAACTTTTTCGGGGGGAGAGCTTAGGGGAAAGGCTAGAAGTGATTTTGCACCCAAAGAAAGTTGTTTTACAATGTTTGACAAATGAAAACGAAACCACTAACAGCTTCACAGACCTCTTCTAAAGCACATCCATTTTACTGTCTCAAAGGATGCCGAAGGACCAAAAATACAAGCTCACTTACACTCCAGTAAATTACCTACTGCCCAGACTGTAAGCAGTATTACCATGACGGGCAAATTTGCTTTAGTCTGGTACTCTGCTAAGATGATGTTTTTCTTCTGGAACCCAACCTATCATCTCCAGTTGACTCCATGCTGTGTTCTTTAGACATACCGACTTGTCTGGAGCTGACCTCATTTATGTGGAAACCCTTACCAGCCCCTCCTTCAATGAGCCAAAAACCTTAACAAATCAGAATAGCTTGCTGGGTGCCTTGACCAACAGATTAAAGCCTTTGAATATTTCAGGATCTTTATTCACAATAATCACAAGTTAGGAGAACACAGGATTTCTGGAATACAGTAGTCCTGTAAAAGCAAGATTTAAGAGGGCTATGGAAAAGTATGATATTATGGCCATCTATTGGCTTGGGCCAATGGAGACAAGAATATGAACCTTCCTGGGTTTCAATCTTCAAGATAAAGCAAGCCACAAATGTGGAAAGCACAGCTCAAAAATGTTTCTTTAAGGAATGACTCGTGCATATGGATAAATTAAAGTCTGCAGTAGTAATATGCCAGGGCCCATTATGTCATATTTAACTGACTTGTGTTTCTTTTAAACAAATAATGAAGAAATTCCTTAAAAACCAGTAGAAGACGTTATGTCTGCTGTCCACATCACATCTTTCAGATTAGACACATGCAGTCTCTGAGCCAAAAGGAGACAATATTAATTACTTTCATGAACCACCCTCACGTTTTCCAGTTTTGTACAGGATGGAAGCAATCAATGATTAGTCCTAGGCAGCTGGACGAAATCACACTTTCCTCCCTCCCCACCACTGAATCCCAAAACAATGTAATAGCTATACATGGAAAGGAAAGAAACCAACATGAGCCCCAAAGGCTTTCAGGTGAACAGTTACTGAAGATTGCAGGAGTCAGCTGACTCTTTAGAGCTATGGCCATAGATGCCCTGAGGATATACTGATGGGGACAGGTATCAGCTGCTTATCTAGATAAGGAAATATTCTATGCAAGCTCTCCTAACAAGAATTCTTTCTGCAACAGTCACTAGGTCTGTCAAGACTTGAACTGGAGGTAGGATTCCTTCCTTCTCCCTTCAACAGGGAGGAAATGAAGAGTTTTATGTGAAGAGTTGTGTGGTGTCGCATCTAACACCAGAAGGGTAAAACAGAAATCCTGTTCTTGAGCAGATTCCGATGCAATCTGATGTCTTTTTTTCTAAAAATCAACTAGAAGAGAAGTCAATACCAATGGCCAAGTGATTTCTTTTACCATAGTTGTAGCTAAAAGTTGTGAAGAACAGATATTTTTGTGGGTTTGATGTCAAAAGAAACAGTCTCATAAAAAGGTATGGTCTTTACTATGTGTTCCCACTAAATTATTGAAAGATGCAATCCATGGTCTTTTTTTCTGGTAGACACGGGCAGAGGCAGAATCCTTGGATATGTTGCCAGACTTTAGGGTTGTTTTTCATAACACAGAACATGAAATTTTTAGAGTGCTTTTCTTAGCCTGTCTTTAAGAAGAATGATCATTCCTTCCTCTTAAAGATAATAAATCAAACAGCTCAAGCAGTGAAAGGAATCAAGTTGTATCCATTCTTATTGCTGGAACAGAGACAGATTGTGTTGTTGAGGCAAGAGAAACTTTAATATTCCTGCCTTCAAGTGCAAGTGGATGGAGCTACCCAGCAGTCCTCAGAGTTAGTAAAGGCTAGTTTGGAAGAACTCTCCTTATTAGGTTTGTGGTTTGGTGGTTTTTTTGAAAACATATTCTGTATACTTATTCTCTCATGGAAACAAAAGCCAGTCTTACTCTTTTATGAGCCTTTAATATTTCAAAGTCTAGCTCTTCACTTCAACCTATTTATTTTTGTTAGTTTGGGATAATTTCTGATGGTTTCTTTACATTCTGAAAAGTAATTTATTTATGCACCCTGATTAAAATTCGTATTTACTGGAAAGCCATGAAGGAAAGTCAGTTCAGCCTGCGTGTTTATAGCCTGACAGTTCTCTTCATGCTGTCTTAATAGTTTGTATGTTTAATATTTTAGCTCAATATTTTGTTTAGAGCCAAATTCCCATTTCTTTGAGTTCTTTTCAATATATAGTAAAATGATTGCCACAAGTAATATAAAGAGAGAGATGGAATAGCAAAATAAGGCCATACAGGTCTATCAAAGACACTACTATAGCTAAGCACTGTCTGAATTCTAACATAGTCAGAAGTTGATGGTAAACAGACACCTACCCTTTCTTAGAAAAGCATTATTTTTCAAAAGCAATGCTTACCATGGTCGCTGAATAGCAGCTGTTTCCATTTCTGTCTTTCTATTTCTGAAGCTTTAAATCCCAGTACAGATTTCAATTCTTGTAACACCCTCTTAGATTCCTGTCTTTCTCGTTCTTGTCTGTCTCTCTCTTCCTGGGAAAAGCAGTAAAAATCTTCCCTTTTGTATTCGTTCTCCATATCTGAATAATCAACATATGCTTCCAATTCCTAAAGAAAGGAAGAAAGAAAGAAAGAAAGAAGAATTTTGACCTTCACTGTCAGTGTAGACCATGTCCTACAATCTGATGCATGATTAAGTGATCTCAACACAAGCCAATCACAGTAATAGGACGGAGCCCTGTTTGAGCAGAGCCAGTGGATCTGACACTGCCCTCAGTTGTATTTGTATAATTTTGGTGCAAGTCCACTCATTGAAAGTTAACATTACTGCAGTCACCTAAGATTTACTTTCATACACAAGTATGATCAAGTGATATACCTTGAAAACGGGAGTCTGTTTCCCCATTATTACATGTGGAAATAAGCAATGATGATGCGAGTTTTTTGTGTGTGTGTTTTGGTTTTTTTTTTTCTAATTTACACCATAAGCAATTCTTCCTCAGTCAGGCATCTTGCTAATTTAACTTACGTAAATCCTTATTAAGAGCATGTTGAGAACAGAAAACTCCTCCTCCAATTTTAACTATATTGGCTTACAAGCATGAAAAAAACACAGCTCCATTTATGTTATAACAGACAGACAGTAAAGTTATTAGTCCCAGCTCTTTGATATGGAAAAAAATCTAGAGAGAATACATGTGGGGTAGGCTTGGGAGAAGGCGAGGGAGGGACAGAGCAGAGCATGGGTGTTCAATTTGCTTTCAGAATGTATCTGCCACCCAGTTCTGGCATGGAGGAGGCCAGCCTCTCTTCAAGACAGCCCAACCATCACACACAAGTTCCCGAAACAACACAAAACTGTTCTGTTTTAGGTATCCAAAAATGCAGAGATTACTCAAACTGAAGACGGGCTGTTTTGTTCTGGAACTTGTCCCTTTTGCAGCTGTGTCAGTTCATCTAACAATATGCAAGTAGAATTCTATTTTATATACCGCCTTTTAGCAATTCACATTTTTTTCTATATTACTCTGACTTGTGCTGTTGCTCAAGAAGTGAATGCTAGTGCTCCTTTTTCCATGCTCCCCATGGAACAGCAAAAGGAATATACATATTTTTTTTCTGTAAGTCCAATTACGAAATGGCACTGGCTACCTACTTGATCTGTCTTGGCAAGACAAGAAGGTCACTGCACAAGCAACTGAAAAAGGAATGGATACAGCAAACAAGCCCCAATTATTATTTTAAATGGTCCTATTTTTTTTTACCTGCTCTTCAGGGATTGGATCTTTGTTTTCTATGTATATGGCAGGCTGTGTTAAAGGTACTGTAGTACGCTGTAGGTTGTCACAGGAAACTTCAAGTTTGCCTTTAGGGGGAAAGGAGAAAAGGGATTAAAAAAAAGAAAAAGACTGAGTATTGAATGATGTTTTTGACTCACTTGGGCAGGGCCCAGGCATTTTCATTAGGCAGGATTGGCACACATGAAAAAAAATGGTGAGAAGGCTGGTTAGAATACATTGAAACACTGTGATAGGGAGCACTTAAATAGCTATTTTGATGTAAGCTGGGTCTGATGAAACTCATCTTGAAATACTTCAACTAAAAAATCTCAAAATTTTTATAGACTTTGAAAACCTGCAGATGGCAAGAAAAATTGGTAAAACCAGAAAAGAGACGTGGAACCCAAGTTTAAAAAGAGAAGTAAAATAGTAAAATTATAGGCAAATCAGCTTCAAATCATTGGAAAATACTGGAAGAAATAATCAAGCAAAATTTACAGGAAGCTATTTGGAAAGTAGCAAGGCGATAAGTGACAGCCAGTGTGGGTTTGTTGAGAATAGATGATGTCAAATCACTCCAATTTCATTTTCCAGTGCAGTAACAGGTCTTACGAATAGAAAGAAGCCAAAGACATTCTGCATTTTGTTTTCAGTATGGCTTCTGACACGGTGTCACAACATACTCATAAGTAAAATGCATAGGCCAGGAGAAGTTGCTATTAGGTGCATAGGACAGTCTCTTGGATAAGCAGGGTGTAGTTACCATTTTCAGACGGGAACAATATATTGAGTGAGGATTTGTCTCAAGTCCAATACTCTTTAATACTTCCAATGGGTGAAAGAAAAGTGTTTCAGCTCATTAAATCTGCTGACATTGGGATAATCTGCAAGGATACTGAAGGGCACAATTAGAATTGAAAATAATACTGGAAAATCAGAGATACAGCTCAGGAAGAATTGGATTTCAGATACAGCAGTTTGCTGACAGTGGCTGCAAATTTTTGTGCTTTGGAATAGTCAAAGGCACAAATATATGACAACTGACTGGGCAGCGCCACTGAGAAAAAGACGTGAGGAGCCTAGTGGTCAACTATACCCTGCTGCAAGCAAAAAGCCAAACTACATACTAGTGCATATAAACAACAGCACTGACTGTTAGACACATGAAATTACATTTCTACTCTGGCACTGATCAGGCTGTGGATGGAACATAGTGCCCAGTCTGGGGCTCTTTCATTCAATAATATTGTGGACCAGCTAGAGGGAGTCTGGAGGAAAACAGTGGAAATTATCAGAGGACTAAATAAAGTATAGTCGTCAGGGAAGAGTTGAAGGATACAGAGTCATGGAGAGAAGATAGAAACATATTAACTGTCTTCAAAAATGTAAGAGCTATAAAGAGGAAATGGATTTCCATTGTGGGTGGATCAAAAGTACCACTTTTAAATTGCAGCACGAGATATTTATATTCAGTAATAACTTTCTATTGGTAATGGAGTTAAATGCTGGAACAGATGCCTGGAAATACTGTAAAATGTCTCTAAAGAGAGGTTTTTAGGAACTGGTAAACAACATTTACTCACAAACACTAATTTATCCTTGAGAAGGGAAATGGGCTGGATGACCTCACCAAGCCCCACCTATCCCTATTTTCAGTTTCTAATGTACACATTGAATACTTAGGAATGGTGTTCTGAAAGTAGGCAGTTCACATTAATTACAATTTTAGTGGTGCTCAGTTACCTGCTTTTGCAAACAAGGGAAATATGTAACTCCCTAGTTGCCTGGGCTGAGCTAAAGATTTGACATTCCAGAAGTATCTAAATGCAAAGTTTAAAAGAAAGGTGAAGCATGTAGTGAAATTTGAAGTAAATGGAAAATTGACATGAGATACTTATTTCATAAATATCAAGCCCCCTTATCCAGTGCATAACTCTGCCTTGTAATAAAAATATTTTAATAATAATGACAGCAACAATAGAAATACACTCCTGAAGGTATGACGAAAAATTTGGAAGAGTATATGGAAGTTACCAATTACCTGCCAAATCAGAGGAGTAAAACAGCTGCTCTAATATGTACAGACTGCTCTGTTTGCCACCTATATGGGATGATACCATTGCTAAGGATATGCTTCAAGATCATGAAAGTGTTTAACTCAAACTGCTGCTGCTTTAGTCACTCTCCAGTGAGTCAAAGAACTGCAAGATCCAGGAGCTTGCAGCAGAGTACTATGGCGTTGCTCTTATAAATATGTAAAATAGTTGGATACATTTGCAAAGATAGAGACAGTTTGAAAGGAAAAAAGGATGGAATTTAAACAGTTTGAGGGATATTGTTTCAAAGATAATTAAAACAACACTGTAACTAGCCATAAAGGAAATTCCATTCTGCAAAATTAGCAGCAGACTACTACACGCTTAAATTATCAAGGCCTTAAGTGGTAAATCAGTTTTATCAGTGATAAAAAAAGGTGAAAGAAGAAAAAGAATATGGCTGAATGTCTAGAATCAACTCATGTTGGAAATGAGCAAAGATCTACAACGCAGATCAATCATAGGTAGGTCTATCATTGCCCAATGAATTTAAGTAGAGGTCATAGAATCATAGAATCGTTTAGGTTGGAAAAGAC